CTGTGACCGGTGTGACAAGACTTTCAGGAATCTCAGTTCATACTCCGAACACAAACGATCCCACACTGCAGATAAACTGTTTCACTGCTACAAATGTGCAAAAACCTTCACTTCACTATCTGTTCTGTGCAAACATCAGCGTGATCACGGTGAATCTGGTGTCAGGGTCAGACTTAAAACTGTTGAGATCAGGCTCCACAGAGTTCAGCTGGAACCGCATGTAAAGAACTGATGAGGCTGCTGTAAATATAAATGTTCCTGCAGTTACATCTTAAGCTTTCTAAACTCTTCTACTTTAGTGCTCTTATCAAGTGGTTAGCTTCTTTTTTTTTTTTGTTGGAAGAAGAAAGCTTGTTATGTAATCAAGTTTTTATTGAATGCATTTTGATTCATGTGTTCTGTAGGTGTTCTTTGTTCAGGCTGTCTGTGTTATGAAACTTTGCAACGGTTAAATAAAAAATGAAAATGTTAAATAAAGAAATGGTTTAATGACAGCTTGAGCCATGATGTCATTTCCTGTATTTCAGAGTAAAGACTCGAGGGATGAATGGAAACATGTTTACAGTCAGAGTCACATTAACTGTTTTCAGTGACCCAGATGGAGGTTTATCGGAGGACACTTGGCTTTCCTTCCCTCACACTGAACAGGGTTCCTGCAGCTTATTACAAACTCTGATCTTAAATTTAAGAAAAATAAGATCTTTAAAATCTCGTATTTCTTTTTATCAAACTTGCTGTAGGTGTTAAAACTTCAGATTTTCTTTTTAAATTTTTTTTAGGGAAAATAATCTTTTATAGTTGTGGTTTCATTTGCTCAGAGTTTATCAGCGTTTCCTGATACAAGGCAGGATGGATCCATGCTTTTGTGTTTTTTAACACAAATTCTGAAGCTAAAATCTGAATGTTACAGAGATTGAGACCCATCAGATCAGGCAACATTTTCAATCTTCTGTTGTCCCCTTTTGTGGACGACAGAAGATAACAGTGGAAGGAGAACGAACTGGGAGATCTCAGGTCCAGTTTACCTCCTGGGTACGTCAAGCTCTTCCTCTGCTAATCGTTCCAAACACGGAAAGCTTTTAGGAACATTTAAAGTTTGTTTGGTTTTTAAGTAAATTTTGTGGAAGCCTCAGTCTGAGATGATGGTTACAGAAACTGGATGACGTTTCGTACTTATTTGATATAGAGAAGTGAGTCACCAGAGAATGGACACGTTAGTTAGTCATGCTGGAGATGGTTTTTGTGTCACAAAAGACTTCAAAAAATATACAACTATTCAGACTCACAGACATAATAATGATCAGAAGAGCATAACAAGCATACGGACGCAACTCCCATTTTTTCTCCATTTGATGCATGAGAGCAGATTTTAACAGAAATGCATTGTCAAAGCTGACAATGCATTTCCGAGCCAGCTAACACACCTGGTCAGGAAACATGAAAGTACTAAGTGCTGGTTAATACTTTCAAAATAAGAGTGTTATTTATTTCACAGTGTAAAATAATCCTGATGGTGGGAGTATCGTGGAAAAGCTTTCTGTAGCGCTTTTAAAAAACAGTCATTTTCATTGGGGCAAATACTTCTGTCCTCATTAGTGTTTAAATATTAACTGGAGACTCTTTGAGTGAGGACTTTTTCTTTCCAGTGTCTCTTTGGAGTTTTCATGTTCTGCTTTCATTGTGGTGTAAAGTGACAGAACCATCACAGACGACTTCCTTCCTTTTATCGTTCAGTCACATTAGAGTAAACACCCTCAGGTGACTATAAAAGAGAATTAAATGTTCCTGAATGGTTGGAGCTGTTCGTCCTAAACTTTAAAGTTTCTGTGTGTCACAAAACCAGAGACTTATGTGTTCATCTGGGTTAGAATTGACTGACGCTGCCTCATTTTAATTTCTCATCGATTTGTTCAGTTCAGATTTAAGTAAAAATTAAAACCGATTAAACAAAATTAAATGGATAAAACTGATTTAAAAGTTCCCTCAAAATCAAATGTTTTTGAATCGTGCTTAACCAAATAACAGGCTGGAGAGCTGAAACTATACGTATAAAGATTTCAACAGTGAAGCAGATTGTCCAGTTTTTAAGGTTTGTATGGATATAAATGTCACTGTTCCTGTGTCTACTCCCTGCCTTTCCCATATCCCATGTTTCATGTCTAGTCACCCCTGTCTCTACGTTCCCCGTGTCTCCCCAGTCAGCCGTGCCTTCTTGACAAAAGAAGGGAGTTTATAGGACATCGTGCTAATAATGAATTACAGTAGTCCCGCCTACAAGTAATGAATGCATGAGACAGGATATTTCTACTTTTAGAGATAATGGAAGAAAGCAGTCCTACATATTTTTTTAATATGTGCATTAAAGGACATATCCTGGTCAAAAATGACTCAAAGGTTCCTCACAGTGTTACTGGAGGCCAAGGTAATGCCATCCAGAGGTTAGATACCATGTTTCTAATATTTTCAGGGCCAAGTACAATAACCTCAGTTCTATTTGAATTTAGAAGCAGAAAATGAGAGGTTTTCCAGG